GTATCTTATCAACTATCCTCTTTCATTAGCTAGGATGTACCTGTATCTGCTGTAGGCACATAATGTCTGACCATCGTGACAATAATCTCTTATATTTGAGAGAGTATATTACCACTGATGAAAAATTTAGGATTATTTTGTCGATGTTATTATGCTTTTATTTCGGTTTTTGAAGTATCGAAAAAGCATTTAGCTGAATAAAATTTCTAATATACCGTGCAACCTAAGTTATTTATGACAAGGGTAAGTTGGACACTTTCCACAGTAGACTACCAAATAAATTCCATTGAGAATGCTTCAAAGGATAATTTATCAAAAGATGTTAGGCTAACATTATCTTGATATACTTATTCGTGACCTTTCTTGACTTGATTTGATTAATCAGAGAAAGTTTTACTTACATGAAGCCTTTTCTTTGTTATTATTGTACGAGTGTTTACCAATGAGTTTCCTTATGTTGGCATTTGACTATTAACCAGTTATATCCATCATAGAACTAAGTATACAGGTTTCCCCAATTCATCTCTGTCTGAGTTTGAAAAGAAAGTTCTGCATGCTTTATATGAAATGATAGCTCATAATATCATCGCGGAAAGATCACAACCAACTACAGTTCATAGTACTTTGAATTCAACAACCATATAATCATAGCAATGGTTCATAAAACACATTTTATACCTACTTCATCAATTGGTATATCCCCGTATGTTGAGTGTTTGCAAGAAATAAAATGTGGCCAGGATATCTAAATGTACTATCAAACATGGTGTTAAACGTTACAAAATTTACAACGAGCATTTGTCCATTTTATGTTCTCTTTAAGTTTTATGATACTACAATTCTTTGAAATGGTGTTCAGTCAATATAATTGAGTTTTTTTTTTCAATCAGGTAGGTTACCATTTATAAGTATTAAAGCTGTGCTCAAAACTTGCACCATCAACTTTCGTTGAGTGTTTCCACGTGATGTAATGTAAGTGGTTGCACCAATGCCAATATTGAAATTGCAAATATTGTAATGTATTCTTGTAGAGACCTATCTTAAGTCGACGAAAGATATGAAATGTATACTGTCTAAAGTTAGTGTTAGAGTATATTTGTACAAACTATCATGAAAAATTATAGTTCCTTCAAAAACCTGGAAAAATTGTACGTACATAAGTGCGAAATGAGAGTAGTTCAATGATATATCGATTAACATCACATTATTCCTATCATGGCGTTTTGTCATATAACAAACACATCATTGATGGGTTATGGCGTTGGTGGCGGCAATAACGTTTAACTAACCCTCACGGACAATCGTCTTTGACCTTGCCGAAATTGATTTTGTGCTAGTTCGAAATCGTTTTTATGTCATACATGGTAGATTTATCTACTCAAGCCATTCATACCTGCTTTTTTAATATCAAGATAACAGTTACATATGGGTAAAAGGATTTAATCGTGAATCATCAAAGCAAATATGCAGGCCTAACCTGGCGCGACTAAAAGCTCGCCTTTTGACCTCGGATATCTCAATGGACAAACAATCAAAGACCAATGACCAGCAAGCACCACGGCCTGGCACAGATGGACGAACGTCTTATAAACTAATACGGTTTACATGTAGGTCTTTGCATCTACTGTGAAAGAGCTATACAGATGAACGTGAAAAATGGAATAAGAAACCATCAATCCTAGAAACCGACAGAAGAGGTTCTACCTCTGTTTTTCCATGGAACAACCTTTAGATGGCAACTCAAGGCGTTAGTCGACAACGCCATACTTCGAATTTGAAAAAAGCGAAAAAGCAATGCCAATGTCATCGATCTGAATTACAAGGTTTTCTCTTTATCATTTTCAAAACGCTACAAATTACATACCCTGTGTAACTGACAAGCTCGATATCTGTCTACAACGTCTTAGAGAATAAGGGATACAAGTCGATTTCGCGGTTACCCATCAATCTACATAATTATCGGTCAGGAATAATGACTGTGGCTCGATTATTATAAAACAGAAAAGTGTCCCTTCATCGTACATTAATATTATATTGGTTGTGAAGACTACTTTAACGCATATAGCCACATCGATATTGTCGTTCCATAATTTGCTTACAGGCGAGTTCATGCACCGAGGCTAATCTTCGTATAAAGAGAACCCTCCACTTGCGCGCCCTTTGCATCAAGCAGCGGAGTTGGAAAAAGTGCAGGTCACGTATGCACATCTGTTAGCTGTGAATGTAAGAAAAGCATGGGTTATGATAAAATGTGATACTCGCATTCCCTTGTCTGAGAATACAAGCAGACAAAAAGACAGACATTCTTTAAAGTTGGGAGTAGGAGTGATAAACACGGTAGTTCCACGACGAGAAAAAATTCTTCTATGTATGCCAAGACTGAAAGACGTTGAGTAGAAGAGTTTGGATTTGTGTGACTGTTAAGCGTAAATGGACGTGTCGTGGTGGCTCAGCATTCAGCTAATGATGCGATAGGCTAATTGTAGAAGTAAACTTTTGAGAAAGTGAAACCGGTCCACGGATGATTTCTGAATTTCCCGGGATACTCGGTCAGGCTACTCAGGCGACTGTCGATTGTTATCACCAGCGAAGAACATACAGGATAAAATGTCTACGAGTAATCAAAAGAGAAAGAGTCAAGTCCCGTACAAGAGGATAGCCACGATCACGTATTCGCTATATACAAGGCCCT